TCTAGCGTGGAGAGTTTAGGCGGGTAAGTTGAGTTTACTATTGTCTGTACAGTATGTAAATTAGGTACTGTAAGTCTAATACAGTACTGTAATTTTATACATTTCTTGTGAAAGAAACATTTCTTATTCAACGGCCATTAAAATTATTTATATTAATGATGTCTCCAAAGTTCAACAAATTTTTTGCAGAAAAATAACTTATCAGAAATCGCGGCCGCTGTTCGGTGTGCTGCTCCGCGACGAAAACAAGCTTAAGCAATGGCGACGTTGAACGGTGCACACTTGGTAAGTAATCCTACAATTTTTTGTTTATAGCATAGTTTATATGGATTATTCCCAAAAAATTATACGTGTTTTGGAAATGTTGAGTCGAATTAGTCTAGAATTGATTAATTTTATGGAAGAAAATCTTTCAAACAGCCGTAGTCCGTAAACTTCACATGTGTTGGGCTGTGATTGGCTCATGTATTTAAGGATTCCTACAACATGAAATTCATATAACATGGAATGTATCTACGTGTTATAGGGGGGTCTACTGTACATTGATCAACACTACACTACATAAACAATTTATTTATTAATACAGTAGAGTGTCGATTATCCGAAAGAATTCCAGTCGGCAAATTTAAATTTTCGCCAGTGCTGTGGTGCTGCAATCTTTGGCTATGTCTTGGGCTACTCAAATATTTTACGTTTTTGATACTAAATTAAGTTCTGAAGTATAATTTTTAACGATACAATAGTCATGATTATTATTTTAAAAAGTTTACGTTAGGCTTAACATTGACGAAAATTCAACACAAAGAGACACGCAACAGAGAAAAATTTCAACATGGGATAGGTTAATATATTTTTTCGTACATAATCGGTTATCTGAAATATCGATTTTCTGAACAACCCCAGACCCCAATTGATTCGGATAATTGATGCTCTACTATATATCACAAAAATTGCAGACCTATAAATTCCCACAAAAACCAAAACTATAAACAAGGGAACCAACTGTGAATAAATAAAATTAACAAGTCTCAATCTTTCCTTGAGAAACAAGTAAAAGTAAAAATAATTTAATTATTGTAATTATTAAATTACATTAAATTTGTTTAAGGATATCTGAACATGTTAAATTCTTCACATACATTAATATATTGTTTTTAATTCTGTAAAATTATTGTATCAATGTAAATAATACAATTTTCTACAATAATGTATTTGCACTATATATTTTTTACTAGTGTTACTATTTAACATAATTCTAATATTTCAACATGTATTTTTCTTCTAATAATTATTATTGTAAGTTATTGATCTAGGCAAAGCTTTGTTGTTTATTACAGCTGTTAGATTAAGTAGAAAGAATAAATTTATTGATAAATAGGCAATAAATCAATTTAAAGAAAAAAATTAAATTTTTAATAAGTTCACAATTTAAATTTGTTTAAATTATTGAGAATTTAACTTACAATTGGAAAGTTTTTAAATTCTTCTTCTATTGTGGATGAGGAAATAAGCGCACTTTCTGATGCAGATGAACAATACTGGAATGTTTTAGCTTTTATATTTTGGGAATCTTCATGTGAATATAATTTATCAGTTTTCATATTGTTTTCCTTAGAATCTGAGTTTTTATCATCTTTTTTAATATCTGAAATCCAAATACTTTGTGTAGAAATAAATCTTGCTGTAGCAGCTTCTGTCTCTTTGTTTGGACTAGATGCATCATCACTAACTTTCTCCATACTATGATGACTGGTTAATGTTGCTTCACTTGATGATATGTAAGATAAATCACTTAAATTATTCCACCATAATGGAGGATGCAAATGCCAAAGAGAGCTTCTTCTCTGTAGTTGTGAGAAAATTAATTCTCCAGGAACAATAGCTGAATGTCGTCTTTGATCAGATGAACTAGAAGAATCGGAGTTTTTCTCTCCTTGTACAAAAGAAAAGGCCCTCTTTAATCTTGATGATTTTTCTTTATATAAGTCTTTCACATTATCATTATCATTTTCAAATTGTTCATTAGTATTATTATTTATCTGTGAATCTATATTATTTTTCCATGCATTGTTATTTATTAAATTTTCTTGGGATTCCTTGAAAAAAATAAAATTTATTATTTGAAAAATAAAATATAGTATGTTTACATTTGTTTATTTAATATATTTAAGAATCAGGTTTGAATAAAGAACACACTGCTTATTAGCAGAGAATTCTTTATTCAAATGAATACAAGATATAATTTTGTGTTACAAAAATATATCTTATCTTTTAAGCTAATTATTAAATTTAATAGTACTTTATTAGCTTTTGAAGATTTATAAAATTTTATAATTAGATTTAATATAAATTACTCAATTATTTTATCAATAACTACATTAATCAATATTCCATATATTCAAAATCTTTATATAATTGTGTGCTATAGTGCATTTCAAATTAGTTTGAAATTGCTTAATTAAAAGATATTTCTATGGTTTTAATATGTATTTAATCATATTAGAAATAATATGAAATACAGAAATAAATTAATATATTTCACTTTATAACTTCTTATTGTTATTTTTAACACAAATAAACTGTCCCACAAGAAAATACATAATCTCAAAGAAAAGAATAAACAATAAATTTGCTGCAACAAAATATGTAATGATAAACAATATTCATATTTCTATTGCATCTGGTACAGTTTTTTAGTCAATAATTGTTATAGTTAGTTATCAGAATTAAATGTTGGTGACACAAACCTGTGTAAAAATAAAATAATTTTTAAGTTGTCAAAAAGTTTAAAATGAAGAATTTGAATGAAAAAGGCACTCTAAGTTTTGTCTCGGTTTTTAATTTCAAAAGGTGAGAGTATAGTTGCAAAGGTAGATAGTGGGCAGAAGATGTCTGATGTTGCTGGGCAGTATGGCTTGAACAGGTCTACAGTAGGCCACAGTTCAATCTTATCTAAGAAAGATACAGTATAATCAAGAAGACTCAAGCAGCTAAAGATCTTTTGAAGAAATGGAAGGATGTCAGAACAATAGTCTTAGAATGGCATCCAAACCAGGTTGAGGTTAATAGGCTTAGGGATCTCTACAACAACAATGCTATTACAGTAGAGCGTCGATTTTCCGAATCAATTGGGGACTGGGGTTGTCCGGATAATTGATATTTCGGATAACTGATTTACATACGAAAAAATAGTTAAACGTATCCGATTTCGAAATTTTTCTCCGTTGTGTGTCGCTTCGCGTTGAATTTTCGTCGATGTTAAGCCTAACAAAGACTATTGTATCGTTAAAAATTATTTTTTTATTTTGTACAAACAAAATAAATATATTGAAAAATATAAAAATAATAAAAAATTATACTTCAGATGTTAATTTAGTATCAAAAACGTAAAATATTTGAGTAGCCCAAGACATAGCCAAAGATTAAAGCGCCACAGCACTGGCGAAAATTTAAATTTGCTGACTGGAATTCTTTCGGATGATTGACTTTCGGAAAATCGACGCTCTACTGTAATTACTTCTGAAAAATCCTGAAGAAGAGAGAAAAGCAATCGACATTGGACAGATTCTTTAATGTCCCACAAGCAGAAAAAACATGACTGATAAAAATGCAAGACTGTGTATATATGTATTTTTATTATTACATATGAATAAACATAGTAAGAAAATATATAATTTTTTATTTTCGGGGTTTCCAGAATGAATTAATCAAATAAAAATTTTCCCATAAAAATCTATGGTAAATTGATAATTGGTTAATGAACAATTTGGATAGCAAACACAGTCTTGAAATGGATTATGCTCGTTAACCAATCACCCACTGTATTTGTCTTTTAGATCTTCCATTTCTAAAAGTCAAACAGTTTTCAAAAATATTCAGAATTAAATAATTCATGTGTAACAGAAAATCTGTATGTTCAAAATAAAAAGGAAGGAAATTTTTCCAGATTTTTAGTTTTTTAATGTCTATATGATACTGATCTAAGGATGATGTCACATTTAAAATAAAATAATTAACTTATACCATTATACAAATTCTGAAAGTATGCAGTTATCTCTACATTATGAAACACAATCATTAAATACAATAACTTTTTATTATACAAGTATAATACATTAGGAAAAATGATCCATGATAGAGCAATGTAGTATATTCAAAATAGCAAATGTGTAGACATTACCTTTATACAAAATTCTTCCAATCATTAAATAACTTATCTTGAAAATTGGTAAAATTCAGAAAATTACAATAACACTCACCAAAGTATATAATTCATCAAATTGTTTTTTAGTATGTTCTGCTGCAGATATATTCTCTGATATTGCATCTTCTGCAAATCCACTGCTATCAGAACAATTACAAGGACCTATAAATTTTTAAAATTTATTTGAGTTTTTGGAATAAAAACAAAAGTTGCTATTTTTATATCAATAATAATGACTTAACATTCAAAATTTATATTTGAAGTCATCCTTCAAACATACATAAATTAGCTATTAACTCTGTTATATATTAATATTTATAATTATTAATCATAAAATCAAATATTGTATAACAATTTAAATAATTAGTATGCCTTTAAGAATTATTTTGGAAAAACCAACAAGAAACCATTCTTACATCTAGTCCCAAGTACTTGCAAGCATCTTAGGTTAATCATCAGGGACAATAAAAAAATTCTACATGCCATCAATTCAGAAATACATTCTAAAATGTTAAAGGAAACAAATTCTGATATGAAACTAAATGCTACATTCTGAGGGAATTTAGGTCAGAAAAATAAATGCATTTTCTGAACATATGGATTGACAAAAATGAATATGAAACAAAAAGATGTAGAGAGAATGCTTTCAGACCAATTTATATTGTTTAATTCACAGGATCCATACAAATACAGAATGACAGCTTTTGAAATCTTAAAAGAACTAGTAGAAGAACATGGAATTTCAGAGATAGTTTCAAGAGATAGTTTTCAGAGTTAGAAAAAAGAAGAAAGCAGAGCCAGCAAGGAAGATCTCTACATTATGTTGACTCACTGGGCCCAGGACTTTAGAACACCATAGAAAAAGAAAGCAGATAAGAAAATAGTATTAAAGAGAAATTTCATGTTTTTTAATAGGCTTAGGAATGAGAAAGATAAGAGAAACACAAAAAGCAGAGAAGAATATATATGATATCAGTAATAAAGAAGTTAGAAAGGAAGAAATTTTATATAGGAACAAGGGAGAACCTCAGACATGAGGCTAAGGGAGTAATTTGAAGACTGTAACAAGGAACTCTCTAATAGAGACTATTACAGAAGGTTGAAGAAGTTAAATAAGAACACACACTTAGAAAAAAGTAAGAGGAAGAAAATATACTAACAGCTGAAAAATTAAAGAAAACACTATATCTTTCAGCACTTTCTAGTACAATTATTCTTTATCATTAACATTTTCAGCTTCTTTAATAGACCTTCTTCAGATCTGTTAGGAATTAACCATTTGACTATTCTAATTCAGAATGCCCATGTATTCAGATGATGTATGACAAATATAAAATTAAAATTTAAGTTTTATAATATTCATCATGTACAATCGCACCTGCAGGCATTCCGAACTAGAACAGTTGAATGGTAAATTCCTAACAGATGTGGAGACGACCTACTACAGAAACCAAAAACATTAGTCAAAAAGAATAATTGTGCTGGAAAAGTACTGAAAGGTATAGTGTTTAATGAGTTTTGTTCCAGCTGACAAGTGAGATACATTTAACAGGCAAGGATAATTTTTTTACAGTTAAAAAGGTTCAATTTTCAAACAAGAGTACAGTATTTTTAGATAAAAAGAAACAGTGCAGAAGGTGATGCTAGGTTCTGAATTAAAGTTTGTCTACTTTAAAATTTTAGAATTTGATAGAATTTAAAATGTTTTTGAATTCATGGAGTGTAGAATGCGTTTTTACTGTCTCCAAGTACTTTTGAGCTTAAGTACCTCGAAAGTATTTGGACTATATGTAAGTGTGGTTTCTGATGGTTTTTCCAATAAAATAATTTTTAAAGACAAATTATTATGGAAAATGACTTGTAAATTCATATTATACTAATTGTACTCAAACAATTTTAAAACTTAAATGATTCAAAAAATGTAAAATATATATAATAGATAAATCTGAAATGACAAAGATGCATTTGTAAATCTAAAAACAGAAAAGCTATGTATCATTATTTATTACAAGAGTATCAATTATTATGTTATACAATAACCAAACACCTTTATCATTGCCAAGAAAGTTTATTTAAAACAAACGTTTTCGACCTATTCTATAGGCCATCATCAGGTTGAAAACAGACAATTGGAAGATTCTGTTCCACAAGATCGAATACAAATATTTAAATTTCGAAAAAAAAAAACAATGGATTTAAAAAAAAAAATAATAATATACTAGACATNTGATACAGACCTCACATCTCCAGCCAAAGACATCCCAGCATTTTTGCTGTACTAAGAATAATAAACATGTTTTCTTGATGTAAGTTTTTGTCTATTGTGCAACCTGTCTGTTTTGTGTGATAGTACCATGGTGAGTGTCTATGTTTAAGACATATAGAGGCATCATGTTCTTTTAATCTTTTACCTAGGGTTCTGCCTGTCTCTCCTAAGTAATAATAATGGGTTTGCATGTGTATAGTAAACTATAAATGATACTTGCATAATCTGTTTTTTTCTTTTTTGGCTACTACTTATAAAATACTGCCAGAAACTCATAATTTACATGTTAATTTTATTGTATTAGTTCATACTTATATTTAGTAGTATTTCTGAGTTTATTTTTATTTTATTCTTTGTTTTTATTATATATATTTTTATACATTATTAGTATATTATTATTATTATTATTATTTTTTAATCTGCTGTCAGTTTTTTTTTTTTGAAATTTAAATATTTATATTCAATCTTGTGGAACAAAATCTTCCAATTGTCCTTTTTCAACCTGATGATGGCTTATGGAATAGGTCAAAAACGTTTATTTTAAATAAACTTTCTCGTCAACGATAAAGGTGTTTGGTTATTGTTTAATATTTTGCTGAACACGTTCTATTTAATATTATGTTATAATGTTGCAATCTAGTACAACCATTTTTATTTTGTGATATAAAGAAAATTAATTATTATTGTTTTCAAATTCATTACCTTTATTCAATTATAAAATTATAAAGTAAAACATTTATATTCATTTATTATTTGGAATTAACATTTCTTTAATTCTAAATTATTATTATTTGATATTTAAAAAAATTATCCGTTTGGAATTTTTAAGTTTTTTTCCCTCAAATAATACTATTGATGATTGCGTAAAACAAAATGACCAATTGTAACTATTTATATTCTCAATGAAGAATACTGATAAATAAATTGTCAAGAATGTTGTTACTATAAAAATTATATTGTTACTTCAATGTATAATAAAAATTCTCTTAAAAACCACTCCTAATGAATAATGAATTTCTTTTAAGATATGTCAATTTGAATAAAAAAACTTTGTCTATTTTACAGACACTTATTCTCCAATGGTAAAACAGAACTTCAAAAATGACAAATAAAAAGGATTTAGCCAATTGAAAATTTTGAAGCAAATTTCTGAATAATAGGCTGTCCACAATTCAAACAATTGTAGATTTATTTATTAACCGTAAGTATGTAATAAATGTAAACACAAATTACATAAAATTTAATATTAAACTAGTATTGATTTCCTGTAAAGCAATATTTTAACTAATTTATATAAATACAAAATATAGTATCATTGAATGTTGTCTCATATAATGAGTTTTTCAAACAATACAACCAAATTGTTATCAGACTGCAATATCTAATTGTATTATCTGATTATTGACATAAATTTCATTTGGTTCTGTATGTAATGAGTTTTTTTCTATTCAAAATTCAGAATAAAATGATAAGTTTCAAACTATTAGTAACAAGTGTGACCATAACTATAACTAAATAGTAAAAAAATAATCTTACAGTACACTTCACAAATCTTGGCCAGGCTGTTGCAATGCAAGATAGAAAGAATGCATCTATGTTAGTATGTAAAGGGTGTCTATTATATAAAGTTAACAGGATATGAAACACCTCTTATATCACAGGGGCATATTCTCTTTAAATTCTTCAGAACCCCAATTCAGTCAATATGCAGCTACCAGCCAAGTTTGTAAAATGACCTGTATTTTTATTGTTGTTATCTTTTAATTCTAGTGGTAAAATAATTTTTTTAGAGTTCTATGGCACTTCAAATTATTCTAAATATATAAAANAATAAAAAGGATTTAGCCAATTGAAAATTTTGAAGCAAATTTCTGAATAATAGGCTGTCCACAATTCAAACAATTGTAGATTTATTTATTAACCGTAAGTATGTAATAAATGTAAACACAAATTACATAAAATTTAATATTAAACTAGTATTGATTTCCTGTAAAGCAATATTTTAACTAATTTATATAAATACAAAATATAGTATCATTGAATGTTGTCTCATATAATGAGTTTTTCAAACAATACAACCAAATTGTTATCAGACTGCAATATCTAATTGTATTATCTGATTATTGACATAAATTTCATTTGGTTCTGTATGTAATGAGTTTTTTTCTATTCAAAATTCAGAATAAAATGATAAGTTTCAAACTATTAGTAACAAGTGTGACCATAACTATAACTAAATAGTAAAAAAATAATCTTACAGTACACTTCACAAATCTTGGCCAGGCTGTTGCAATGCAAGATAGAAAGAATGCATCTATGTTAGTATGTAAAGGGTGTCTATTATATAAAGTTAACAGGATATGAAACACCTCTTATATCACAGGGGCATATTCTCTTTAAATTCTTCAGAACCCCAATTCAGTCAATATGCAGCTACCAGCCAAGTTTGTAAAATGACCTGTATTTTTATTGTTGTTATCTTTTAATTCTAGTGGTAAAATAATTTTTTTAGAGTTCTATGGCACTTCAAATTATTCTAAATATATAAAAAAAAAATTAAATCTCAAATCTTTCAATTATTTTTCTGATTATTATATTTCAATTATATTTCTGATATGTCTAAATCAGACTAACAAATTTATCCATTGCAGAGATGACATATATAAACTTAATCAAAACTGAACAGAACAGTTAAAAAATACTGGCAAATTATTATATAGACATTCATAATTTTATTTCATATCTAAATTAAATACAAAATTATATTCCTAATAATAATATAAAATAAGTTCTAAAAGGTTTTATAAATCTTAGACAGATAAATTTCAAGTTTCAACTAAAAGAAAAATTTTCCACATTTTACAAAAATTAGTCTCTAAATTATAATAGAAATGCATATAATCTGGAGAAGAAAAATTTTTACATGAATCAATATAACAAATAAAAGAATTTTACATTATTAATATTACTTCAATAAAATATCTTTTAAATAATTTTATAATTTGTTTAAACACAATTAAAATAAATAATTCAATTTTTAATTTATTTAAGTGCTTTAAATATTGAGCTTAGTTTCATAAAATATTCATCTAAATGCATCCATTTTTAATATATTCAAGTAAATTTGAGAGGAAATGTCTAATAAGAGGTGAAGTCACTTAATATCAAATTTACAAGGTTTCATGTATAATTAAAAAAATGAAATACAAACACTGTTTGCTAGAAGATTATTTTTAACTAGTGTTACTATTTTACTTAAGTCATTAAGTATTAACTAATCTATGTAAAAAATTTATTTACTTTTTTAATTATAGAATTTAGTCATTATTTATTTTGTTTTAAGTCTGAAAAAAGAAAGAAAAATATATTTCTTTTTTTTTTGTTATGATTTTGTGTAATGTGAATAAAAAGTGATTGAATGATAAAAACAAATAATATATATACAGTAGACCCCACTATAAAACGGGTTCATATAGTTCGGATTCCTATATGACGACAAAAAAATTGCAACCGTATTCATATAAACATGCTAAAAGAGATTTGTATTTTGAAAATGTTGAGTCAAATTAGTCTAGAATCGGTTAATTTTATGGAAGAAAACCTTTCAAACAGCCGTAGTCCGTAAACTGCATATGTGCTGGGCTGTGATTGGCTCATGTATTTAAGGACTCGTAGAAAATGGATTTCATAAAAACCGGAACGCATCTCCTGTGTTATGGGGGGGTCGACTGTATATAATATGTATGTACGTATAGTGGAAATTTATGTACTATATTTATTTTTAAGCTTCCTTATTTACCTTCAAATTCTGCAGATAATTCATTTTCTTGATTAGGCACTTCAATATCAATACCTTCTGCAGGTGAAAGCTGAAACATTTAATTTCTTTTAAAAAATTATTATTTTGATTTTAAACTAAAATTATATATTATTATAAATTACAAACTAAAAATTTTTTAAATTTAATCCAGAAATTAAATATTGAAAAGTACATTAAAAAATGAAAGGAAAAAAAAGAGAGAGAGAGAGAGAAAAAAAAACAGTAATTAAATTTTTTATTTGAGATTTATTAAACTTAAAAATCTCTCTCTACTTCAATTCTTTAAAAATATTAGTTTTAGGTAATTCAATGATATCATGATTTATTATTATTAGATAAAAGCAAGTTATAAAACAGACAAAAATAATTAATAATAATTATTAATTATTTTTATAATAGTAAAAGTAAATAGTAATTATCTTAATTGAGTATAAATAAAACAGACTTAGTCTACTTTCAATCAAGATATATTCTTTTATTTACACATATATGTTTGTAATATACATTCTAGACATTTCAATTCTGAATTATAGTAGTTAAAATGTAGTTCACAACATACAGCCTGCAACCATAATCCAGCCCCTTGAAGCTGTCCAATTTAATCCTATAGTTGCGAGGAAAATCTTATACAGTATAACCTCCATTATCCGGATTGTTAAAAATAAACAAAAATTTTACGAATTTGCTGATTTGCACTTGGCGAATTACGACAGTGTTTATGTACGTGATGGAATGCATAATTTTTTTGTTTCAACAACGTCTCACCCATCACAGTGGTCGTAAACTCTTAAATATATTTTACGTAGTAATAAAAATATAACTTGACATACGTATTTATAAATAATTTATATTCAAATTACGTCATTTCTATGACCAAGGGCGGCGTAAGGCATGGATGACATGGGCCACCGCCTATGCCTGGCGGTCCGAAGGGCCTCGCGCCTCGAAGGTTTATGCATTACTTAAAAGCCGCGAACGCGACAAAAAAATTTTACTCGTCATAAAACGATAAACAGTTTGTCAAATTTTTATTCATAAAAATGCAGTTTCAACTGCTTTTTATTTTATAAAATCCGTCTTCTTGCGCCACCAGAGGGCCTTTTAAACAATAGGTAGTCTGTTAGCGTTGGTCAGTAGTAGTCCAAATTCAATACGAACGTTTGTTTCTTGAAAATTTGATCACGATTTAAATACAGTATTTACTTTTAATATTACCGATATGTCATCGAAAAGAAAACGTGTTGTATTATCATTAAAAGACAAATTAAAGTATTTGTTTCGATTATCCGGATTTTTCCTTATCCGGACTACCTTCATCCCCAATTAGTCCAGATAATCGAGGTTCTACTGTATATATATTCATATTTTTGTTGAAAAACTTTAAAATACCACTTACCTATTAGTATTTTTTGCCTGATAAAGAAGTAAAATCTTATCATCTACATCAGTGTTTCTCAACCTCTAACGAATCTTTGCCCCCTTCAATAAAACCATTACGTAGTATTGCCCCCTTCACTTCAAAATTCAGATACTGAGGGCCAAGGCTAATGCCAAATTCGTACTACATTGAATAGACTAGTGACTAGTATAATGTTATTTGTTTAATTATTGCACGATATAACGAATAAAATATCCAATTATTCTTAATATAATGTTTTACTATATCGCCCAGAAAATTGTTTTTTGCACCCCAAAATATAAATTGTTACTAATCATCCTCTCAACATGAAAAACACCCACATGGGGGCAATATCGCTTCGTTGAGAAACAACGATCTAAATATATCAATATGTTGAAAGAATATACTGAAATATCAAACATTTTGATAACGAGAGTGAAATTTCACACAAGTCATTAATCAGCATCAAGTAATTTACCAGGATACTGTGTTCAAAAACATTTGAAATGAAACATGTAATTAAAAAAGTGTTGAAATTATAAATTTTCATATGATCAAAAATCCTTAACCACAGACATTTCAAAAACTTTCTTTGAACACAATCATAACTCCCATTGTAACCACCTGTATTTTGTGACCAGCAGAAAACTTCCCCAAAATTTTTCCATTGATTTAAATTGGACTATTTTGTGACCATCTCTGATTTGTACCCTCCTCCAATATGTGACCATGTACGTTTTTGGTCCCTACCATACAAATTAACCTCTTGTGTGTGACAAAGTGCACAAGTTTAGACATGTCTTTGTTATGTTTCCATAATATAGCATATGTTATAATGCATCATTAACCTAACATATAAATTGTAACTTCTCTACAGTAATAAAAAGATTAGGATGGCTGGCTACTATTTTGGTAACTTGAAATCATTTTAAAAGAACTGTAAACAACCATAAATTCCAGCACTAATTCTTTAATAACTGATGTTTGACTTTATTCAGACACTTTCATCAGAGTATTATTACTTCAAAAATCAAAGATGTTCTGTGAGTGTCTTTGATATTTAAAATTGATTTCATTTGATTTGCTAAATCAAGCTATTAATAACACTTAAAAAATTTGAAAAATGCAATGTATCAAGAGACATTTTTATTTATAGTTATGTTTAGTTACTTATATTATTTATTTTCCCTTTTGTTTCAGTTATTTTGAGTTTTAGCAGTTGAGTTACATTAAACCTCAACTGCTATCTAAACACTTCTTGGCTAATACTTCATTTGCATAATTTCACACTGTATTTGCATAATGGATGGAATTGTATCTCACTAATTCAGAGTTTAAATATGATTAAAAATATTTAATAATATTTGTACTATATTTTTGTAACCAGATATCAGTAGAAACACTAGTTAGAAAACACTTTCTTTTTTTTGTAAATACAGTATATGTGTGATTATCCAAGCTGGATAATCACCAGTAACGGAGGCATGGATAACACTGAAATTAGGATAATTCACAAGTCTGTTTTAATGAAAGCTAATTGATTTTTCTTTTATTTAGTTTTTAATTTCATATTAAATTTATTATAATAGTTTATATATTAGAAATAAAATACTTTTTGAGAATTGTAATTAGTTAATAAACTTTAGTTCTGATCAGAGTTGAATAAAACTTTCAATGTAAACAGAAAATTCAGAAAAATTTATTAACTAGTGTCTTGCAGTTCACTATCAATTTCTATTATTAACTGAGAATGACATCTAGCTGGCAAGTACCGGTACCTGCCATCATAAAATGTCATTAATACTAATGATTTATTGATAAGGAAATGATTCAAAATATTTTCTTCAAACAATTTTACAATTTATTTAATAATAATAATAATAATAACTCTCCTGTGGTCACCACCTGGTCGTGGTGGGAGAGCTCAGTAATTTTACTGATCCATAGGGCAATGTGGGCTGGAGCACAAGCTCCTGGTAGGGACACCCATGCCAGTAAGGTCTATGGGGAGAAATGAAGCTAAGAGTGACCACACATCCATATTCTGTGGAGATATTTATCATTGTAGTAACCAGTCCTAAGTGTGATACTGGCTCAGACGTCACCTGGGTTAACAAGGTCCATGCTCGTGGGTTAGGCAGAGGTTCATGTTCAAAAAGTAGGCCATAGTCTCCCTTGGTTACTGGTGGCAAAAGCAGTACCGGTCCAAGCATGGCTACTGCAATGCCCTCAACAGAAGTGAGGAACCCACACAGCCCTTGTGTTTCTGTGGTAATGCATCCACAGACCACAATAGCTAGAAAACCATGCCAATGGATGAAATGGACAATAGAAATGAATGAGTCTATCATCTGTACTTACTACACCATCACAAGACTCAAAACAAACATGACAGCATACAGACAACAACTACATCATAGATTCACACAACAATATCCTCATCTCATTGTCACCGAACAAAGAATTGTTGATAAAAAAAAAAAAAAAACTTATACACAACAACCTTATCCCACAAACAACACTTGAACTTATCAAACAACAGGTTGCTGATCAAACACATCAACAGACAGAAACATTTAACATTAATGAAGATCACGTAACCTGTCAGGATAATCCAGCAACAAGCACTGATTACAGCACACACACAACAAGTACCACTAATGATACTGCAGGCATTCCCCATCCATCACTGATAACATAGACATAGAATTACTTAATACGCTCTCACTTATATTTCAGTAAACACTCATTAAATATACTGGTACAGATCCCACACAAAGACCACGAATACCAAAAATCAACACGTCAAAGGCAGTAGGAAAAACACTAGATTATGTAAACACTCACTTACTACCAAACTACATTCTTTCAATTTCTACACTTACAGACATTCATACGTTAGTTTATGCCGGGGCAGTCACAGTAGTGACACACCATGGACTGAAAATACACTCACAGACAGACACACACAAAACACAATTCTATTACAAGCCTGCCTGGCAGAGAAGAATATCAACACATATAAATGACATTAGACAGCAATTAGGCAAGCTGACACAATACACTAAAAACAACATAACACCAAAATTAAAGAAACAACTCAAAAACATTTTCAAGAAAATCAAAATACACACAAAACATAAACATCACAACACACACATTACAGAATACATTGATATACTAAAACAGAAACTCGCAGCCAAAGCACGTAGACTCAAACGATACAAAACATGTACACTATGAAAACAACAAAATAAATTTTTTACAAACAATGAAAAAAACTTGTACAGACAAATTAGTACCAAAACAAATACTGATACACAGCACAGTGGCACACCAACAGAAGAAAAACTTACAACATATTGGTCTTCTCTTTGGTCCGATGCTGTCTCACACAATGCTCATGCAGGCTAGATCGAGGAGGAGAACAAAAACTTGCACAACATACTGACTATTCCCTGTGCTGAAATAAACATACACAATGTCCAATATACTGTTAACAGAATACAGACCTGGAAGACACCTGGTGTACACAACATTCACAATTTCTGGTACAAAAAGTCTACATCACTGCACCAGGAACTAGCTAAACACCTAACACACATCATCATCATAAATACACAAGACATGCTAAAATTTCTTACACAGGG